AATGTATTTCACTTAGCCACGTGGCCATTTCAGATCATTGACACGGGCGCCATCTCAGCGGTGCAGCTGGAAGCAGTGGTGTATGCATGCCAGGCGCACGAGTTACGTCTTCCGACCAACGAAAGAATGGGCTACCTCATCGGTATGTATATGCTGCACTGTGCTTTGGTTTTGCTTATCATCCCCTCCCCGTTAAATTCTATTGCCTTTGCTGCAGGTGACGGGGCCGGTGTGGGCAAGGGCCGAACGATTGCTTGTATTATATATGAGAACTATCGACTTGGTCGCAAACGTTCCATTTGGTATGTTTTTTTATATGGGTCGCTAAGGTACCCTACTTGTAGCGTGGTCGAAAACAAAACAAAAATATTTTAATTTTGATTTTTTCCTTTACCTACAGATTTGCTGTTTAGGTCATTCTGGCCTTTCCGAACTGAGCTGATTAATTTCACATCCGGCAGCTCAATTTTGATGTTTTATTTCCTCACCCGCCATCATTTTTGACGTCAACTTCCAGCAGAATAAGGGAGAAACAGTAGCTGTGCTCGACCTCCATCTCTCTCCACTAGCTACTCGCACTGTCACTGAGTAGTGAATAAAACCGTAATTAAAGATGTCTGAAGTTACGTTGAGTGCTTTTATCATAAAATTACATATTGGGTTCAAAAAGAAAAAATAGGCAGCATGCGGATGATATTCTGATAATTAGTATAGCTTCACTGATCGAGAATTTCTGAATGTGCGAAGTAACTTCGCACTGTTAACGAGCTGTTTTTTATAGGTTGAGTGTTTCTGCAGATCTGCGATACGACGCAGAAAGGGATTTAAGAGATATTGGCGCAGGGAAAATCAAGGTTTGTACATTATTTTAAGCTGATCTTCTTTTTGAGACTTGTGCTGCTGCCTCATTCCGACGACTAAGGATGTTCATTAATTAGACTAATCCTTGCCCAGTAATTGTAATTTTAATTTTAGATAGTGTGTGTTTATGTAAAAAGTAAGGGAATAAAAGGGAATGTGAATAAGTTAAATCTGAATTAAAATCTGAATAGGAATGTTTCGGTCCATCAAGTCGCATACATTCCTGTTTAGCGCTGCAACTGGACCTCGTCAGTGTGACAGTTGCAGCAAAAATAACATGCAGTGAAAAAGGAAAATTAAGATAATGTAAAAAGGTTAAAGCAAAGATTAAAAGTGCGTGTTATACATTCGTAATAGTGGAGGTATTGTTAATATCTCCACCATTACGAATGTTGAACTGGAGTTGTACCTGTAAAGTAAATAAAAGTGGAACCTTAAATCCGAGGTAGAGATGAGAGAATTAAATTGTGGTAAGTGGTGGTAAGTTGTAGTGAGTGGTGACAAATCTGTGTTTGTATCATATCGGATTGTACGGGTTCATTTGTGGCCCAATGTATGTTATATTTGTGAGATTTTCTTTTGTATTTATGCAGATACGAAAAGCGCATGTTACTGGGACTTTTTGCGTTCGTGTGTGTGTGTGTGTGTGTGTATGTGTGTATGTATGTGTACATGTATGTACGTGTGTGTGTTTGTGTATTTATGTATGTATGTGTGTTTGTGCGTATATGTGTATGT